GGGGAGGGGAGGAGCTGGGCGAGAGGGGCGGGGCTCAGCCTGGGAGGCGGGGCAGCGGGGAGGGGAGGAGCTGAGCGAGAGGGGCGGGGCTCACAGCCAAAGTGGGAGGACCAGCAGGGTAAGATCAGGTACAACGTGTAGGGGTTTTTTCAAGCAAGCGAAGTCCGGGAGCGGGGTCATAAGACCTAGGGAGGGGATGAGTGCAGAGAGTGGCAGGGTAGGAGAGGGAGGGCGCAGGCAGAGGAGCCGGTGAAGGAGGCAGTAGGTGAGCGGTGGGAACCGGGTGACAGCGACCTGGCCTCCTCCTGCCTAGGAAGCGGGCAGCACACAAGGAGCACAGGTCCTGATCTGGCCGGTCTCCTAGGCCCATGAGGGGTCGTTTAGCTGCCCAGCGTTCCTTTTCTCTCAGTGCAGCTATCTTCTTCAGGGTCCAGAATCATTTGCAATGTCTTCACTTATGCTGTTCCCTCTGCTTGGCGAGCACTCCTGTCACGAAGCTAAATCCTCCTCCTCTTCTAGATCTTAGTTTAAATATTGCCTTCTCCCCAAAGCCTCGTGCTTCTTCTCGCTTCTTCTCTGCCTCAGTCCTCCATCCCTACACCCTGGCTTCAAAAGACAGTGCCTTTGCCTGTGTGGTTCATCTGTCTCTGCCCCGCCCTGCCCCCAGGTCTGCTCTCCAGTGAAAGAGAGCAGGACTCTTCTGCAGCAGCATTGCCTGGCACATAGTAGGCCCTCATGGTTATGGAAGGAACTGACTGAATGAGACATGCACGTCATTCCCAGGGGCACCCCTTTCTCCGTCACTTTTACCTCCACTGGACATGCAGCCAGTGGTTTAGCTCTCTGATGGGTTCACACTAAGATTCAGCCCTGAGCACTTTAGGGGAGCCTATTCCTGGAGGTGCCTCAGCAACCCCTATACACATGTGACAACTGTCAAGTAGCTTGTCGGCCCCACTCAGCTGCGTGCTCAAGGAGATGGGGGTCCCACTGGGCTGTGTGGATCTGCAGCAGCTTGTACTTGACTGCAGAAGGATCTCTGCCGCATGTGCTCTTCCCTCAGTGTCATTTCCCCCTCTGTTGGCACTGCTCTCGCAAATGAAGAATGGCAAGAGTGGTCCCAGGGACTTCTGAGGCTAGGTTGTTTTTGTTTGTTTTTGGTACCTGGGATCGAACTCGGGACCTTGCGCTTGCCAAGCAGGTGCGGGAACCACTGAGCTAAATCCCTGGCAGAGACTAGGTTGTGAAAGGGAGCAGCACCCAGCTGCCTCTCTCTTTGGGGGCATATTTGCTCTGACAAAGCCAACCACCATGGTGTGAAGACGCAATGATCCCACAAGGAGTCCACTGATGTCCCCCCGCTGACTGCCAACACCAGCCACCAATCTGTGAGATAATTTCAGCTCCCATCCGGCTAGTCTTCCACCTGAGGCCCAGACATCCTGGAGCAGAGACAGGCCTTCCATGCTGAGTCCTGTGCATTCCTGACCCTCAGAATCCACAAGCATGATGAACTGTTGTTTAACATGGCTTGGCTAAACATGCAGCATAGTAACTGGAACTGTGTCCCAGTGGTGGCAGCGCTCAGTGGGTACGCACTAGATGTTTGTGGACTGGTAGATGATTGACACACAGACAAGGCTGTGGAAGTACAGATCACTCCCCACAAATTGCAATTGGCCACTTATTTGCGATTTCCTCTGAACATGGGGGCACTCAAGGACCCGATGTCCCTGTGTACTCAGGGTGGTCAGTACCTTTTCCCCCAGAGAGCCCTCACTGCCAGGAGAGTGGCGTGGGGGGGGCTCTTCTGGGGTCTGGAGCAAATCAACAATTCATCCCATGTCCCCCTCTACAGAGAGCCCTGACCACTGCCCTGTGGGCACCTCTCAGCCCCGATGCACTCTGCACTGGGCACATTCCCAGTCATGAGATAGTGCTGGGTGCCTGCTCCTCTGGTAACCCCCAGACTTAGTATCAGTTCTTGTTACCAGTTCTGGGTCAGGGAACATCAGCCTGGCCCTCACCATAGCTGGGCTTTCAACAAAGCTCTGGGCCTGGGGCCCCAGGCCCCACTGCCTACCCCAGCCGGGCCTGCTAAACCGGGCTCCAAGTCACAGTAGGACTTTGAGGCACACCCCACCCCAGCTCTAGGGCTCAGGCCTGGCTCACCAACTCCAAGCTGTGGGGTGGGAGCAGCAGGGACAAGGGAAGCAAGAGGAAGAAAGAGTGTGACTGGAAGGGGTGAAGTGTAGTGGGATGGGAGGAGGTGGAGTTAGGAGTGGAGATGGGGAAAGACAATGGCAAGAGACAGAGGAAAAAGAATTAGAGATAAAGAGCAAGGAGGAAATGGGCAGAAAGAAAGACACAGAGAAAAAGGTAGGGGACCTTTGGGCCTTCCGGTGCAGCAGCATCATTTCACTTGAAGTGAAAAGAGGTCTCATTTCTTTAGTGGACGACTGAAACTTCTCTGAAGCAAAGACCAGCACCCCCAACCTTTGGTGCCTTTTAAAGGCTCAGATTAAAGGGGATTTCCAGAAAAACTACAAGGCAAGGACTTGCCCCTTGCTATTCTCTGGTTCTCCTTCCTAAAAATTCCATTTCATCCCTCAGAAAGAAAAAGGCAGGGAAGAGAAGGCACCTCCTCCGCAGAGCCTGATTTAAATGCCAGCACGCAGCTCTTTGCTTTCTCTCTCCTGACGTCTGAATGTGTTCCTTTATTATCATTATGGCAGCTTTCTGATTGCATTAAAATTCATCCACATGGGCCTCTCTATCCAGCCTCTTCCCTTTGCCAGTGTTTTTCCCCCCTGCCTTTTGCTAATTCCTTTTCCCCTGCCCTGAAGTATCTCTTTGCTGTAGAGTCCCCAGTTGTAGGCCTATGAGCCTCCTCTTGAGAGCTTTCTAAATGAGTAGGGGTGCAGGCTTCCCCTTTCCTGTCCATCTCAATTTCCCCAGGGAAACCACACCCAGTCTACCTTCATGGAAGGCTGCAAGAAACCAAAGAAAGCTGACTCCACACTCACTTTCTCAGGTATTCTCCATTCACTCCATCCTACTCAAATGTTTGTTCCTAGGATCCTCAGATGTGTTCAGTTTGCACTCCTTTGTTTCCACTTGGGTTTGGTGAGAGTGGTCCTAAGGCTTGTCTTTCAGACCACAAGCTTGAAGGATTCTGAGTTCTAGGGGGCCCTCCTGGGCAGGCTCCATGGTTCATACCCTACTCTTTAACTGCTCTACACCTCAGCTTTCTAGGTCAATAAAATGGGGTCATTTAGGCCCTCCTCGAATTGTGGTTGCTAAGTTCCAGAAGACACTGCAGGGACAATGCCTGGCAGGCAGTAATAACAGGACAACTTGGGCTTCTCTATGCAGGAGGAAGAGGAAATGGGATGCTGGGCCACCTTTGTTTGCCTTGCCCTGGTTAGCCAGAAAGCCCAGCCCTGCTGTGTGGGGACGGAGGTCACAGAGCAGAGAGGTCATAGGATCCATTTCTCAGGGTGGGGAAGGCACCTGAAATAATAAGCTAGGTCAGACTCAGGCTGTGGCTGACCACCCAACACAGATGACATTTCCCTATTCCCCACACCCTCTGCCTACATCCATTCTGGCCACTTTGCCCAGGCACCATCCCAAGCTCTGTTAGGTGATCAGTGAGCCCATTTAGCTGATATCTTGGATCTGATGCCAACCTTGCAAGGGTCTCAGAGGATGACTCGATCTCTCCAGTAAGTACCCACCCTCCTTTAACATCTGAGGTAGGCTGAGCAGCTTCTGGCCACTGCCCAGCTGTCTAAGCCAAGGCCCCTGTGTAATTGGCAGCCTCTGGTGGTCTCCTCCTCATCTGCAAGCCCTCTGCCATTACCTCCCATGGCCAGGATGTGGGAGTCTGCTGCTCCTCTGAAAAGGAGTTCAGGCAGGTGCTGCTGGGACTGGCCAAGAGAGGTGAGGAGAGGAGAGGCTTCAGGGCCAGTGTAGAAATGAACCAAGTCACCCAGATCCCAAGGGGACCAGGATGTGATGAGCAGCCAGAGGCCGGCACTGGGAGTCCAGAGGCCTCCTCTGAACACAGGCCAGCCCAGGCACAGACATCCCTATGTCTCCCAACCTGGGGTCTTTACATGGACCCCTTCTGGGCAAGGGAACAGCAAAGAGCATGTACTGTACTTATTCAACAGTGTTCACTGAGTACTTTCTCTGTGTCAGATTCTGCTCCAAGCACTGCTTTGACAGCAGTAAACAGGAGCTGCTCAGTGGAGCCAACGTCCATACAAAGAGATGGGCCCTCCACAATAAGCAAGTCCCTAAACAAGGCAAAGGCCAGCAAGACTGCCACAGAGTGACCTTCTAAAACTGGTGTGCTCAGCCGGGGATTTAGCTCAGTGGCACAGCACCTGCCTGGCAAGTGTGAGGTCCTGAGTTCGATCCCCAGTACCAAAAAGAAAAAAAAGAAAAAGAACTGGCATGCTGCCTGATGGACAGCAAGGCCACAGGTTGCAGAGCAGGCAGCACCCCAGATATACCAAGGGTCCCACAATTTTTTGGCTCAGCTGCCTCTGACCCCTGGGACTTCTTAGTCCCATGCCCCTTGCTGCTGTCATCTGTTCTGATGAAATGGAAGTGGCTGTGTTGATGGGTGTGGGGGAGCACCTGTGGCACTGGAAGCAGGCGTGTGACTCCCCAGAAGGTCTGGGCAACAGAAGGTGGGTGCCAGTTCCAGCCCTGCCTGCACCCAGAGCTGGGCTCTGAGCCCAGGTGTCCTTCTC